TCCAGTTTAAAACCCTCCTGGTCCAGTTTAAAACCCTCCTGATCCAGTTTAACACCTCCTGGTCCAGTTTAAAACCCTCCTGGTCCAGTTTAAAACCCTCCTGATCCAGTTTAACACCTCCTGGTCCAGTTTAAAACCCTCCTGGTCCAGTTTAAAACCCTCCTGATCCAGTTTAACACCTCCTGGTCCAGTTTAAAACCCTCCTGGTCCAGTTTAAAACCCTCCTGATCCAGTTTAAACCCTCCTGATCCAGTTTAAACCTCCTGGTTTAGCTGATCCGCAGTAAACCCTGAGCTGAACTTTGAGCTGGACCTGTTTCAGTTTAGTCTGAGACCTCGTCTTCATCCATTCACTGAGTTCAGATTTAGACTCTTCCTCAGAGTCCAGGAGTCCTTGTACTGAGGAAGACCAGGTGGTGCTGGACGCTCTTCATCCAACACAAGCTGTCAGCATGTTGGATTATGTTTCCAGTGCAGAGTAACAGTTTAGTCTGGGCTCTGTGAGGTTATTATTAGAGCTGTGCTGAGGAGCCAGGACCCAGCAGAACCAGAGCCGGGCCTTCATTCATCTCTCTCCTCAGGTGGTTGAAGTTTGAGGAGGACGTGGAGGACGGCGGCGAGCGCTGGAGCAAACCCTACGTGGCCACGTTGTCTCTGCACAGCCTGTTCGAGCTGCGCTCCTGCATCCTGAACGGCACCGTGCTGCTGGACATGAGCGCCAACAGCATCGAGGAGATAGCAGGTCCAAACCCCGCAGGGATGTCGTGTCTGCACAGGGTCAAAGGTCAGACTGACCCCGCTCCTTGTCCCCTCCCTCACAGACATGGTGATTGACAGCATGCTGGCGTCGGATCAGTTGGAGGAGGGGCTGGAGGAGAAGGTGAGGGAAGCCATGTTGAAACGACATCACCATCAGAACGAGAAGAAGCTCAGCAACCGCATCCCGCTGGTCCGCTCCTTCGCCGACATAGGCAAGAAACACTCTGACCCACACCTGCTGGACCGCAACGGTGAGGGGCTGCCACGCTCTGTCACTCGCTTCTGACCTGACCAGGTCCAGGCTGTGGCCCGGGTCCAGGCTGTGGCCCCGGGTCACAGATTAGACCTGATTCTGGTGTCCTAAATGACCCGAGTCACAGATTAGACCTGATTCTGGTGTCCTAAATGACCTGAGTCACAGATTAGACCTGATTCTGGTGTCCTAAATGACCCGAGTCACAGATTAGACCTGATTCTAATGTCCTAAATGACCTGGATCACAGATTAGACCTCATTCTGGGGTCCTAAATGACCCGAGTCACAGATTAGACCTCATTCTGGTGTCCTAAATGACCTGGATCACAGATTAGACCTGATTCTAATGTCCTAAATGACCTGGATCACAGATTAGACCTGATTCTAATGTCCTGAATGACCTGAGTCACAGCTTAGACCTGATTCTAGGGTCCTAAATGACCCGGTTCACAGATTAGACCTGATTCTAATGTCCTAAATGACCTGAGTCACAACTTAGACCTGATTCCAGGGTCCTAAATGACCCAGGTCACAGATTAGACCTGATTCTGGTGTCCTAAATGACCCGGGTCACAGATTAGACCTGATTCTAATGTCCTAAATGACCCAAGTCACAGATTAGACCTGATTCTGGTGTCCTAAATGGCCCAGGTCACAGATTAGACCTGATTCTGGTGTCCTAAATGACCCGGGTCACAGATTAGACCTGATTCTAATGTCCTAAATGACCCGAGTCACAGATTAGACCTGATTCTAATGTCCTAAATGACCTGAGTCACAGATTAGACCTGATTCTAATGTCCTAAATGACCTGAGTCACAACTTAGACCTGATTCCAGGGTCCTAAATGACCCAGGTCACAGCTTAGACCTGATTCTGGTGTCCTAAATGACCCGGGTCACAGATTAGACCTGACTCTAGGGTCCTAAATGACCCAGGTCACAGATTAAACCTGATTCTGGGGTCTGACCTGACCCAGTTCACAGGTTAAATCCAACACTCAGGAGTTTATGAGCAACACGTTGATCTTTTCTTAAATTTAAAAGTGGTAAATCCCTGAAATCGTGACTTTATTTTCTAAATGTTCGGTTCCTTCTGTTTTATTTCTCGTTTAATAGGATCAGCAGAAACCTGTGAAATTGTTTTTCACACAAACAGTTTAGATTAAGAAGATAAACTGTTACAAATGATGTTAAAAACAAATAATTCGTTGGATTTATTGTGAAATTACTTGGCTTTAAATAATGGACCAAAAACATGTCTTCATGGTGCGTTCAGGAACCACTTTACAATCGTAAAATCACAGCTTTTTATTAAATATACATTCAATTAGTTTGTAGAAATAAAGCTTTACAGACAACATGACTTTTTACTGATAAACTTAACAAAGACATTTTATTTCAACATCAAACTTTATGTTGATAAAAACATATTTGGAAAACAAATAGGTCATAAATAATTTGAATAAATTTGTATTTGTGTTTATTGGATTAATGGAAGCTTTGATTTTTTTCTGAGTTTTTAATTAAATATTTTGATAAAATCTAAGCCTCTGGGTTTTTGGTTAGTTTCTGAGCTGTTATTTGAACATTAAAACTTAAGTCTTTTACATTTTTTACCGTCTTTTGTGAGTTTTTGTCCCAGTGGTCTGTTGCCGGGCGGATTTCAGCCGGTCCGAGCTGATTGGCCGAGGAAACGGGGTGACAGAGTGACGAGCCCTGTGATTGGTGCATGGTGTTAGCATGTTGTTGGGCAGAGTTTAGACTTTGGATGATGATGTTTAATGAAGTTAATAACTTAAAGCTGATGTTAATGATAATGGCTCAGTGATTAATAATTATCAGCTGTTTGTTTTCTAACCCAGTTAAAAACCAGCTGACATCCTCTGATCCAGTGTTTTAATAAGGATTGTTGTCATAAAGTGGAAGCCTGCAGATTATTTTTAAACTTTAATAAACTGAATATCTGAACTCAAATAGCAGGAGATGAACATTAGATATATTAAACCTCATTTTAATTAGCTACGTAAATAAATACTTGAATAATGCAAGTACAAAGTAATAAATCTAGATAAATGTAGAACATAGACATCAAGAAGTCATTTAATTAAATTCCGTTCAGTATTTACAGCAATAAATCATCAATAAAACATCAAAGGTCTGAAGGGAGAAGAGCATTCTGGGTAATATAGAGCAGGGGGAGCAGAAAGGGGAGGGGCAACACTACAGGCAGAAACACAGAGTAAAAAGTGAGCCTCAGACACGTTCCTAAACGAACACAACAAACTGCAGAAATGAAACTTTTATTAAAAACCTTTAAATTCATTATTTAACAATTGCTGTGGATCCACTTTTTAGAACAGATGACAGGTTAGTTTTACTAACCCTGTCCTCTGAAACTGACCCTGGACTAACCCTGTCCTCTGAAACTGACCCTGGACTAACCCTGTCCTCTGAAACTGACCCTGGACTAACCCTGTCCTCTGAAACTGACCCTGGACTAACCCTGTCCTCCGAAACTGATCCTGGACAGCCCTGTCCTCTGAAACTGATCCTGGACTAACCCTGTCCTCTACAACTGACCCTGGACTAACCCTGTCCTCTGAAACTGATCCTAGACTAACCTTGTCCTCTGAAACTGACCCTGGACTAACCCTGTCCTCTGAAACTGACCCTGGACTAACCTTGTCCTCCGAAACTGATCCTGGAATAACCTTGTCCTCTGAAACTGATCCTGGACTAACCTTGTCCTCCGAAACTGATCCTGGAATAACCCTGTCCTCTGAAACTGACCCTGGACTAACCCTGTCTTCTGAAACTGACCCTGGACTAACCCTGTCCTCTGAAACTGACCCTGGACTAACCCTGTCCTCTGAAACCGACCCTGGACTAACCCTGTCCTCTGAAACTGACCCTGGTTGCTCAAATCTGCATGGATGGTTCTGATTGGTTCAGATCAGTTTGAATGGTTCTGATTGGTTCAAGTCAGTATGGATGGTTCTAATTGGTTCTGATTGGTTCAGATCAGTATGGATGGTTCTGATTGGTTCAGATCCGTTTGAATGGTTCTGATTGGTTCAGATCAGTTTGAATGGTTCTGATTGGTTCAGATCAGTTTGAATGGTTCTGATTGGTTCAGATCAGTTTGAATGGTTCTGATTAGTTCAGATCAGTTTGAATGGTTCTGATTAGT